CTCGGGCCTTTTGCTCGTGACACGCCGACTTGCTTTGTCACTGGTGAGGTGCTTGATGCAACGTAACACATGGTCGAGAGGGGGAGATTGGTGGTCACGTTGCACTCCAAAGTGCGACTGGATCGGCTGGCACGCCAGGTGCCTCGACTTAGGTGGAGGGGCACTCTTAGTGCCCGGTGCACACGTTGTGCACTTGTGTTTTCCGTGAAAACTCCCCATGACTCTCGGCTGTGCCGTGAAAAGAAGTGTGAGCGTTCTGCATCAATTTCTTATCACTTGTATATATTTGACTCGGACCAACATATGTGGTCGACAATTCTTTATATGATTGAAGTGGAGATATTTGATCGAGGCATTTATACTTGATTCAAATATGTGATTGTCCTGGATGACCGGATCTATAAGCATCTCTTCACGCGTGCGTGTCGATGTTTTATAGATCCTAGGTCAAGCGAGATTTTGTAAGCAACAAAATTTTGGGCCATGACAATCTTTGCGCTACTCCTAGTAGTGCTTTAGAATCCAAACTTTTACAACTTTCAACAGTAGTTGCACGATTTCATTTCTCCGAGCAAGCGACGGTTTTACTTCAGTGCCAGTGTACGTCCCCTTGCTCATGATCGAATCAGTGACCACTGAAGCTGTCTCGAGATCGAGCCAGAAATTTTTGATCCCGCCCACCCACCCTGGGGGGAGATTGGTGGTCACGTTGCACTCCAAAGTGCGACTGGATCGGCTGGCACGCCAGGTGCCTCGACTTAGGTGGAGGGGCACTCTTAGTGCCCGGTGCACACGTTGTGCACTTGTGTTTTCCGTGAAAACTCCCCATGACTCTCGGCTGTGCCGTGAAAAGAAGTGTGAGCGTTCTGCATCAATTTCTTATCACTTGTATATATTTGACTCGGACCAACATATGTGGTCGACAATTCTTTATATGATTGAAGTGGAGATATTTGATCGAGGCATTTATACTTGATTCAAATATGTGATTGTCATGGATGACCGGATCTATAAGTCGAAATTCAACTGGGCCGATGCTATTTCCCGCGAAGGCCTCCAAGACCAATGGCACCGAGAGAGAGGATTCTCGGCGTACACCAGCGACATCCCTTGCATCCTCTGGCAGCTGCCTTTCTCTGCCAAGTCGCTTGTCCTCGCCTTTCTGGCGGGATGATAGTGCATTGGGTGTAGTGCTTTGGGATACGTTGGACGGGTTCGTCCCTGAGATATCGGCAGAAGCCGATCCGATCAGAGGCAGACCTCGAGTCGAGGATTCCAATGCACTATGGGCTTCGCCCATGAAATGAAAAAGGGTCCGAGTGCTCTGCAGAGAATGTTGTCCAACTTAGTGCTTCGGGCAGGCTTGGTGAGTTGAAATCATTATCTGAGTGCATTTTGGATTGTGCTGCACACGTTGTCGCTTGAGCATACATGTGCATCCGCCGCCGTTTCCTCTCAAACCAAAATAGCCAACAGAACACTGGAGTACCTGAGTCGCAGGAGTTTCCTTTTGCATCCCACCCTACCTTCCCTAATACAGGGCTCAGCCCTCCCTAGAATTTATCTGCACCAGAGGAGCGGGTTCGCCGGTGTACTCTTCGGAGCGCTCCCTAGTTGCGGAGTGGCATAGTATGCCGGGAGTTACGTCGAGCCGTACGAGGTACTGTGTACACTGTACAGAGGACGAGTCCTACTCTTCGAGTTCCCGTTTAGCGGGATTCTGCGGGCGATCGGTGGGATACGTTGGACGGGTTCGTCCCTGAGATATCGGCAGAAGCCGATCCGATCAAAGGCAGACCTCGAGTCGAGGATTCCAATGCACTATGGGCTTCGCCCATGAAATGAAAAAGGATCCGAGTGCTCTGCAGAGAATGTATTTACGACTTTTTCTAAAATTATTCAGAATTATTCAAAACTTTCAAGAATATTTATCAACGTTTTAAGAATGCATTTCAAGCTTTTAAGATTCTTGTATAAAACAAAAGAAACAAGCCTTCTCGCTTGCGAGACAGCATTTTATTTCCCAAACGATTTTCTGATTTGCAGTGCTGCGGTATTTGCCATGTGCTTTTTCTGTCGTGCATTTGTGAGTGCTGGCAACACTTTGTGCGACATGTTCGGTGATGCGATTCCTTTGATCTCTGTAGCATTTGGGCTGTGTGCAGCCGTGAGATCAATTTTGTTGTGAGGCCCCACTAGAGACCTGTATTGCATCTAGCAGGTCCCGGGTGCTATCACAAGGCTGCTCCCTAGGAGCCCGTGCACGCCCCCTCCACTGGGAGGGCGGCAGATGGAAGAGGCGGGCTCCGCTTCCAGTCGTGCTACTAGCACCAGTGATTACGAGGTGCTGTCTCAGCATATCTGGGAGCTTCAGTTGGAAGTTAACACCTTGCGAGCTCAGCTGCTTCTGTTGCAGGAACAGGTTCAGGAGTTGCAGGCATCGCACAGCCACTCTGCCGTGCGCCTTACCTGGATCGAGCAGTGGCTGCAGAGAGCCCAGCAGGCCTTCCAACATTTTGCGTCTGATTAGACTCCCTGCCTGGCTAGCTTCCAAGGGGGTGTGTCCGCTTAGCCTTTTTCATCATGTCACACGACCGTGTTATCGATGATGCAGACATCGACCGCTTGTTGCTGCATGCGCGTACCAGTGGCATCGTGGACACTCTGCCCAGGCTCCCCTGGGAGTCTGGAGTTATGTCGTGCATTTTCGGCAATGGCACTTTAGAGCATCCCGTCTTGCGGCAACCTTGCCCTCCGGCATTAGAGGATTCTGCAGACCCAGCCCCTGAAGATGTGCCGTGCATACGTGTCAGGTCTGCCCCGTGCACACTCTTCGAGAAATCCTTTTCTGCGAGGGCCGATATCTCTACCCAAGCTGAGGACGAACACCTTTGGGTCTTAGCGATCAACAAGTGGTGTTGCATTTTTAGCTTGGCTCAGAGTGACCCTGGGCAGGTCGGTGAGCAGGCTGCTCAGTGCTTGATTGCAGAGGGTCAGTCGGCCAGGGACGAATTGATTCGGGATGTCTTCGGAATTAAATCCCCTAGGACTGCGATCAAGCGTGCCAATTCTTTGCTTAGGTGCTTGAGGTGGCATCTTAGAGAAAGGCAGGCCGCCTGGCCCTGGGACTGTGGCTCTTTTACCGACTTTGTAAAATCCCTTGGGGTTGGTGCAAGTGCAGTCGCAGGCCTCTTTGAAGCTGTGAATTTTGCACATCATGTTATGGGCATGCCGTTCTGCAAAGAGATCCTTGAGGACCGCAGGTTGCAGGGTCGTGCCAAGAGGCTTGAGGGCGAGCGAGCAGAGGTGAAACAGCAGGATCCTCTCACCGTGGAGTGTGTTGCAAAACTGGAGAAGCTTGTGGCCAGCAACTCTTTGTGTGATGCAGACACTTATGTGCTGGGTGGGATTGTCTTCTGTCTGTATAGCCGCTCGAGGTGGTCCGATCTTAGAAATCTCAGGTGTATATGGGTGGACTTTGAGAGCGACGACCAGCAGTCTGGATTTGTAGAAGCGAGGACCCGTGATCACAAGACCAGCAATACAGTCAAGACGAAGAGGCGTGCGATGCCTCTGGTGGCCCCGTTTCCCGGAGTCACTGATGCCAACTGGGTGAAAGCCTGGTGGAATGCCGGGCTGCGTCTCGGTGTGCAGTGGGATGCAGAGCCCTTTGGGCCTCTGGTCCGTGCCCCAGATGCCGAGGGCCAGCTGTGCAAGAGACGGTGCACTTCAAGCGAAGCCGGTGTGATGTTGTGCAATGCCTTGGACCTGGATGGAGACCAGAGGCGTACGTCACATGTCTTGAAGGGTACGACTTTAGCTTGGGTGGGCAAGCGCGGCTTCGGAGAGCGGGATAGCCTTCTTCTTGGTCACCATGCTCCGGGCTCAGGCTCGTTGGCATGCTACAGTCGGGAATTGTTGAGCGCGCCCCTTCGCGCATACAGGGCTATGCTTGCCGAAATCAGGACGAACGTCTTCAGGCCAGATAGTACCCGATCGGGATGGCTCTCAAAGGATTCTCTTCTGCCCACTTTTGGGGAATTTGCAAGTGTTCAACTTGGGAGCTCAGGCGGTGCCTTCGGCCTTGGTGCACAGCTAGGGCATGAGCCAGTTGATGTGGGGCATCAGACAGAAGTACCAGGAGAGCTTGAACATTATTATGCGAACAATTTGCCTCCAGACTTACCGGGCTCCTCACGGCCAAGCGAGCTGGGTCGTGATGATGGCTCCTGGGATCATGTTGAGCACCCTTTGCCCGATGCTGGGGAGCAGGGACTCGAATCTGGGAGTGAGGCGCTCTTTCCTGAATTGTTTGGGGACAGTGCGCGGGACACGACACTGGAGGGCTGTGGCGCAAGTTCATCCTCTTCGTCTTCGAGCTCATGCTCTTCAGAGGCCAGTGAGACGGAAGAGCAAACTATCACAGCGAGTGGTGTAAGCCAACCGTTTGAGATTCATGAGCCATGCTGGCAACACATCAAGTCGAGGATGCTTCATCGCCCGCAAGGCGGGCAGGCAGCGTGCAAAACGAAGTGTGGGAGACGCACGGCCAATGTGTACAGGTGGCTAGAGGGAGCCTTTTTCCGGTGGCCTAGGTGTGCAGTCTGTTGGAAAGGAGAACTGTTAGATTCCACTCGTGCCCTCAATGAGCGGCTTGATGAGCTTATGAACCGTAATGACGGTGCGTGAAAAATTCCGTGGTGCATAGTTGGAGTGCCTTCTGATGTGCGCGGCTCTGGAGTTCAGTGGAGATTGCTCAGGTCCTGAATGCAGTAGATAGCGTTGTGTGTTGCGGGTGCGCATCCCAGGGAGTGCCCTGGTTGTGAGTTCATGTCTTTTGCGAGTGCGCTCTGGCTGAGGGAGACATGAACATGCATGCGACATTACATGCTACTCCTAATTGGACTGTGCCTCACATGTTAGGTGCTCTTTGACTTGCATGTGTGTCAGTCACGGAGGTTGGTGTTCCATAGTTCGCTGGGCTGTGCTCTTTAGTCGGCATGGCTGCGCTTTCGCTCTTAACCTCCACAGCTGCCCTTGACAGGCAGTGCGAGCGTGCAGGCTTGACAGCCCCGTGGGTCACCGCCTTGAAAGAATCAGGGATCACTACGTTAGGGAAACTTAGCTATGCTGTGACGCTTCCGGGGAATCAACCTTCGAGTGATGACATGGATGCTTTCATCTTGACCCTCCGGCCGGGAGCGAGAATCACCTTAGGGGACAGCTCCGCTTTGAAGCAGCTCATCTTTGAATCTCAGACCATGACTGTGGCTGAGCTGAGATCTTCGATGCAGGCTACAGACGAGGTGCCAAGGAAACTGCCGGCATCGGAGCGCTCCATGCGCATTGATGCTCAGAAGCGTCGGCTGTCAGGATTGCCACTGGAAGGCCCTCTCGCAGTCGCTCATTGTGTGTATGACAGGTTAGCAACCATGCGTGAGAATGATGAATTGAAGTATCTGGCCCCCAATGAATGCATCACTCGTGATGAGGAGCTTTGCTGTGAGAAGCCTCCCAAAGCCTTGCACCTTGATGCAAATAAGACGGGGTTAGTGTTGAAAGATGAAGAGGCAACGGCTGCCATCTCTCTTGATAGCGACCTGTCCCTGTATCAAGCAATGATGAGGCGTGCCTTAGCTATGGACTTAGTGGGCCTCGCATCTTATGCTTGCGTGCAGAAGTGGAATGAGCGCCTTTTCCGCATCATGAGCCAGGACCCGCCTCCCGAGTTTCAGCGTGTCTCCCGTGCGCAAGTGCTGCGAGCTGACCGGCAGTGTTTCTTGGAGCTTGCTCGTGTGTGCAATGGAAACTTGAAACCTGGTCCTGATGGGTCCCTCCCCTTGGATAAGGAGTTTGAGAAGCTTGAGTTCAACACTACTGTGATGTACTTCTTGTTGCCTGTGAAAGGCCGGGGCAAGGGAGGAGGCAAGGCTGATAAGGATGGTAAGGATCGTAAGCGCACAAAGACCACAAATGATGGTGAGAGCCCGAACAAGAAAGCCAAGATCACGCGCGACCCGATTCCCGAAGTTCTCAAGGGTATGCACTCGAGAACACCAGACAACAAACCGATCTGCTTCAACTTCAACTTGGGCAAGTGCAAGGCCGGAGCCAAATGCAAGTTTAAGCATGTGTGTTGCAAGCCTGGGTGTTACAAGCCGCATCCCATGAGCGAGCATGACTCTTCGAAGAGTTCAGAGTGACAGGGGACGTGCACGGGCGATGTGATTGCATGTGCAGTGCCCGAGTGTCAGGGATCGTCCGTGCACTTAGCGAAGCCTGTTAAGGACCTCGCGCTTCGAGAGCGTGATAGAATTTTCTGTATCGAAATTTTTGCTAGGCGTGCCAGCTTGTGTGGTTGTCTCCGAACGGTGTTACCCAGCTCTTTTGCGATTGGCAGAGGGTGCTCTCAAGCTTCCGCGGCGCCTGTAGTTCCCGTTGACATTTTGTCCCCCGGAGGTTTTGCATTGTGTGCATCCTGGGCTCGCGAGCCCACTTGTGCTTGGATCCACATCCGCTGTCCTACCTCCGTCTTTCATAACAAACTTTCGAATTCAGGTGATATCCAGTGTGAAGTGGAAAGGTGCATTTACATTTTTGCTCAACTGATCAAGCACTGTGCTGATACGGATACCATGTGGACCATCGAAGCGCCCTCGCGCTCGCCCTTTTGGCAGACTTCGCTGGGTCTTGAGGTGTCTTCTTCCGCGGTTGAGGTCGACTTGAGCCGCTACGCCCCAGGTGCACGGGGTCGCATCAAGTTTGCATCTTCGTGCCCTCAGGTTCTGTCTGCCATTTCCCCGCCTGTGACGCAGCCTCCGCTTGTCAAAGCCAGCTTGGAGGCAGCTATGGGACGCATGTATCGGGCTTTGGCCCTCGTCATGCTTGAACACCTTGATGTGGACGCTTCAAGCTTACCACCTTTGTTTGCAGCTCAGGTTGGCACAGGTAAGCAACCTCGCAAGCCTCTGCTTGCGCCAGTGCCAGAGTTCAAATACTTTGTTCGTGTGACCTTGAGTGCAGTGCCCATATTGGATAACAAGCGCCGGCTTCTTCAGCCCTTGCGTGTGCATGATGTAGTTGTGCCTGCTGGAGCCAAGTTGCTCCCCCCTCTTTACTTCACCGCTGCTGAGTCTGTGAAGGGGGTGTGTCTGCCAGTCAGCGGTGACAAATCTTCCGATACACTGTTAGCCGCTGGTGAGAGCCCTCCCGCGGCTGCAATTGCAGATGACAGGAATGCGACGTCCTCCCCTAGGGTTTCCCTGCCTGTTCCTCCTCCCCCTTTGGGTTTAGTGGATGGCTCGCCTTCTCCTTTTGGTTTAGCCGTGCCTGGCCCAGGTAGTAGAGCTGCCGCGATAACCGTGACCAGTGCAGCTGAAGCGCTAGCGGCGGACTTGTGCGACACTCCTACGCAAGCACAGCTGCTGCAGGTTTTCGACACGTTACCAGCAGAAACTCCAGCAAGGGGTGTCAAGGACGCGCGGGAGAAGGCCTGGTCCGCTGGTGCCTACTCCCAGGGTACTTTGAGTGGCTTACGAAAGAACACCAAGCTTTTTCCGAATGCCGTTCGGCTAGCTGTGAGGCTCCTGCGTTCCCGTTTTCCTCATGCCACGTTTGCCACGGTGGCAATATACTCCAATGTGTGCACTCCGATGCATCGGGATGCCAATAACTTGGATGGGAGTTCCAACTATGTGATGGCCCTGACAGACTTTGCGAAAGGGGGCATTTGGGTACAGGATGATGGGGGTCAGCATGTAAGGGCCACGCCCCTTGGAAAGGCTACTGGTCGTGTCCTGCAAGTGTGCGACAACCCTGTGGAGTTCGATGCACATTGCTTTCACTGCACTTTGCCTTGGGAGGGCTCTAGAGTCGTGTTGATCGGATTCACACCCAATCGGGTCGGTTCTCTAAAGGAGGATGATGTGCGTGTCTTACGGGACTTAGGCTTTCTTTCCTTTGCCTGGCCACCCTATGCCGGTCTCTTGTGCAACAACGACGTGCCCCCCGGTTCACCAGACCGAGAGTGGGGAAACTGATCCTGTGGCCACGCCTGTGCAGCCGACTGTGGTCACCTGTTCGGCGGCAACGTGCCCTCCTGACCAGCCGTGCAAGAGTGGGGAAACTGAGTCTGTAGCCGGGCCTGTGCAGCAGACTCATCATGCAACCTTTGGGGTTCCCTTTGATGAGAGTGAGTTCGTGCGCGCTGCTGTGCGAGCAGGGCATCCCAGCTCTTCACTTTCCTCACTGCCGGACCACCTTGAGTCATGTGTGGATATGCTTGCTAAGGCTCCGCCACATGCTGTGGTAGACAAGAGGAGGAGTTGGCTTGACAAGTGGACAAAACGCGCGTGTGAAATTGATCGTGACCCAGATCCTTCGTGGGACATCGATGACCCGCACATGAAACGTGTCCTTTGCAAAAAGCGTCTGCAGCTGCTTGATGAAATCATTGCCGCCGAGGGCTATGATGATGTAAACCTTGCTAGGGATATCTGGGCGGGCTTCGACTTAGTGGGTACTTCGCCTGTATCCAATGTTCTGCCAGGAAAGGTTACTCCGGCCTCATTGCATCCCGATGACCTGTGTGCTGCAGCCCCTCGGGCCAATGAGGCGCTCAAGGTCTCCTTGGGTTCCTCCGGTGATAGGGAGAAGGACATCTTGTTGTGGGAAAAGACGATGAAAGAGGTTGACTCAGGCTGGCTCCTGGGACCTTTCGACTGGGACTCCTTGCCGCAGGAACATGTTGTATCCCACAGATTCCCTCTGTTGCAGAGTGGAAAGCTGCGTCCCATCGACGACTACAGCAGGAGCGGTGTAAACTCTTGTGTGACGACTTTGGAGCAGCCCACTGTGGATACTGCAGATGTAGCAGCTGCTATGTTCGTCAGGTTGTGCACGAAGCTTCGCGATTCTAAGAAACCCTCATGGATCAAGGGTCGTGCCTTCGACTTGACGGCTGCTTACCGCCAATTGTGCGTAGCCTTAAGCTCGCGCCGCTTTGCTGTCATTGCCGTATATGACCCACACCAGCAAAAGACCATGCTATTCACTCAGGTCTGCCTCCCCTTTGGATCGCGGGCTTCAGTGAATGGCTTCATCAGGTGCTCCAGGTGCATCCAATGGCTTGCCAATCGTTGCTTGCTTGTGCCCACTACCTCTTACTATGATGATTTCATTGTCGCATCACCCGATTGTCTTGCCGACAACACGGGTGCAACAATGGAACTGCTGTTCCAACTCCTTGGTTGGGCCTTCGACATGGAGGGGCCCAAGGCTGATGTGTTTTCCAGGCAAGTGTCTGCGCTGGGACTTCGCTTCGACTTGGAGAATACCGGCGACTGCGTGGTCACTGTTGACAACACGGAGAAACGTAAAGGCGACATTCGTGCTTTTGTGACTCGCATCCTTGATGAAGGTGTGTTGCCTTACAAAGAAGGTCTTGAGCTGAGAGGCAAGCTCTCCTTTGCGAATTCTCAAGTCATGGGGAAAGCGGGCCATTACGCTCTCAAGCACATCAGTTCCCATGTTCACGCCTGGCCTTTTGTGCCCAAGCTATCCGATCCCGCTCGGGAAGCTCTTAGTTTTCTACTTGATCGTGTGTTGCATGGGTCCCCGAGGCGCATCACAAGATCGTTGGGGCAGCCTTGGTTTGTCTTCACAGATGCAAGCTTTGAGCCTGACTTCACCGGGGGTCTAGGGGGCGTTCTAATCTCTCCTTTGGGTTCGGTTGTTAGTTGGTTCGGCCTGCCCTTAAGCGAGAGCGATATTCGCCCTTTGATTCCAGTGGATGCCATCACGGGTATCGGCGAGTTGGAAACTGTCGCAGTGGTGGTGGCCTTCATGCTTTGGAGCCAGCACCTTGCGTCTTCAGATTGCATGGCATATCTTGACAATGAGGGTGCACGCTTTGCTCTGATAAAGGGCTACTCAGCTTCGTGGGCCGTCACCAGAGTCTGTCACATCTTTGCCAGGACTTGTGAACAGAGTACCCTTTTGCCCTGGTGTGCGCGTGTGCCATCGAGCAGCAACATTGCTGATGCACCGAGTCGTAGCATTGCTTGCGATCTTTTGCCACAGGACCGAGTTGCCGATGTGTCCTCAGTCGCTGCCACATACCGGGATATCGTGCAACAAGTCATAACTCTTTCCTAACATCTCTCTTGAAGTGGGGTGGGTGAGAGATGACGGATTGCCGTTATCTTCATGTGCATTGGCACATGTTGTATGCGTGTGATGGGTGTGTGCACCCTTTCTGCTTCACGATGCATGCTTACTCTCACCAGACATACCCCGCTTGCGTGAAAAGAGAGAGGGTTCGACCGAGTGCTTGAGCCACGACTTTTATTATATATTGGAATTATATTTGATGGGACTTTCCCTTGGAATATATTTGATTGGACTTTCCCTTTTGTGAATTACCGCTTTCGTTGGAAATAAATAAGCCTTCTCGCTTGCGAGACAGCATTTTATTTCCCAAACGATTTTCTGATTTGCAGTGCTGCGGTATTTGCCATGTGCTTTTTCTGTCGTGCATTTGTGAGTGCTGGCAACACTTTGTGCGACATGTTCGGTGATGCGATTCCTTTGATCTCTGTAGCATTTGGGCTGTGTGCAGCCGTGAGATCAATTTTGTTCCCGCCCGCCCGCCCTGGGGTGGGTGAGAGATGACGGATTGCCGTTATCTTCATGTGCATTGGCACATGTTGTATGCGTGTGATGGGTGTGTGCACCCTTTCTGCTTCACGATGCATGCTTACTCTCACCAGACATACCCCGCTTGCGTGAAAAGAGAGAGGGTTCGACCGAGTGCTTGAGCCACGACTTTTATTATATATTGGAATTATATTTGATGGGACTTTCCCTTGGAATATATTTGATTGGACTTTCCCTTTTGTGAATTACCGCTTTCGTTGGAAATAAAAATATGTTTATAACCTTTTTACAATGTTTTGAAGACTTTGTTCAAAATTTTGAAGAAATTTGCACGAGTTTTACCAAAATGGCGGTCCAGTTTCGGTCCGTACCACTCCCTAGGCTTTCCTTCCCTTGGGTTACTGCCCGGTCCATTTCGGCCAGGAGCTTTTAGCATTTCGCTGCCTGGTGCTTTCGCTGCTGGCCTGGCCGCTCTTGGGTCGGTTTCGGTCAGTACTGGGTGCTGTGCTTTGGCTGGCTTCGTTTGGGCGCAGGTTTCCCTGCCTGCGGCTCCATGTTGCCCTTTGCCTTTTGTTTCGAAGCGATTTTCCCTTCCTACGCGCCGCACTTGGCTCTTTCCCGATTTCTGCTTCGGGGCATTGCTTTTGCATAGCAGTTTTGTCCGCCTTCTCTGCTTGAAGGCTGCGGCATTGGTGGCCCGGTTTTGTCCGGCACTTGACGTTTTTTGTTTACCTGGCGTCCAGGCTCGCGCTGGCCGGCCGTTTGCTTGGCTTCTCTTTCCGGTTCTCGTGTGGTGTCTGCATTCCCGTGGTTGAAGTGTGCATAGTGGTGGCTTTGAGATTCGCTCTTTGGGCGGGTCTCGGTCACTTCATGCTCGAGCCTGCAAGAAAGCTTCTGGCTGGTTGCTCTTCACTTTGGTTTTTCAGCTCAGCACGTGTTTTCGGGTTGCGTGGCTCTGCCTGCGGTTTGCCCAGTGTGGTTTTCCTGGCAAGCCTTTTCTGGGACGTGGTCACCATTCCCTCTGCAGCTCTGTCACGGGACGTGGATACCACTTTCAAGTGGGAAGGCAAATGCAGGAAGTGGTTCCCCACTCTGTAGGACAGAGCTAACAGGCTCTCTGGTAGCTTCAGCTCTCCAGTGCAGCCGCTTTAGTCCAGGGTGCGGTCTGCCAACCCTGCGGCCGGTGCTCAAACGAGCACCGCTGCCAGCTTAGAAGGTGAGGTTTTCAACCCCCTCAACCGGCCCACGGGCCGCGCACTCTCCGTGCTCATAGAAGAATATCCCCCTTTACCTTGGATGTCGTGATGTTACGGCATGTCTGAAGCTGTTAGGAGAGCTTTGAGCTAGGTCAGTGACTGCACGTTCGTTTCGTCTCGTTTCGTTTCGCTTTGAAGTGTTTTGCTGGAAACAGACAGCATGGGGACCCCCTCGTAAAGGTACTGGCTGGGGGGGGGGGGGGGGGTTTACATAGGGTACGACCTGTTTCCGGAACTATTTCCGTGAGAGGGGGTACCGGGGCGAAACAGAAACAGGCACGGGGTGGCGGAATGCAGGATTTCATTTCTCTATCTCTCTCTCTCTCTCTTCTCTCTCTCTCTCTCTCTCTCTCTCTCTCTCTCTCTCTCTCTCTCTCTCTCTCTCTCTCTCTCTCTCTCTCTCTCTCTCTCTCTGTCTCTCTGTCTCTCTGTCTCTCTGTCTCTCTGTCTCTCTGTCTCTCTGTCTCTCTGTCTCTCGCATCCATCATGCGTGCGTGAATGGGTTTTATTTTTCGCCGAAAGTGTAGACAAAGTTTGTCGAAAAAGGAAAACAGTGTTTTCACTTGTGTGTGAGTGACACTAGACAAGCTTTGCCGTGCAGCTTTCGGCTTGGAGTTGGATCTGTGATCCAAAAAGTTTTTATAGAGTAGCTTGTAGTGCTCCGCAGCAGTGGGGGTCGTCAGCGACGACCTTCCACTCCCTTTTATATAACTGTCAGTGCCAGTTATGGTTGACCAAGCAGCCCGCACTTATGCGGCTGAGTCGCCAGAGGCGCCGTACCATAGAAGGGACGGTCGAGAAAATCAGTTGGCAGCGCCACAATGCCTGCAACGCGTGCGACAGTGTCGCTCCTGCCTCCGCTTTTTGCAGTGCAATCCAATATTTGTGCTAGAGCAGGCCATGCGTGAAGAAATGGCACAACAGGAGATAAGTTATCTCCTTTGGGCCCTAAGCTGTGCCATGCGGGTAGACCCCGCGGTCGTCAGCGACGACCACGAATCCCTGAATCGAGCAGGGGAAGGGGAGTCCAAAGTTTGGCCCCCCTTCTACCCTTTTGCGCAGATGCAGGGGGAACAACCGGACACCTCAGGCAGTGCCTACCCGATGCACCGGTATACTATGTCGCAGCGCGACGTGCCTATGCGGCCAGCGGCCACGCCTGGATGGCCGTATACCGGCCTTTTTGACTGGCCCCCCAGTGGGGAGGAAGACAATGTCCCCAAGCTCCAGTGGAGACTCAATTGGGTGGACGCCCTAGAGGGCCACGTGGCTACTAAGGTGGAAGCCAGCGGGCTTCCAATGGCGCCCAGAGGGTAAGGGCAAAGGCAAGGGTGGTTGGGTCAAGATTCTCCCTGCGGAGAAGAAAAAGAAAAAGACTCACAAAGCTGCCAGCGGCAGTACTGACCCCACCGCCTCGTCCAGCACTGCTCTGCCGACAGCGTCGGCATCAGCCTCGGACCCTCCCTTGCCGCCGCCAGCGGCCGCTCCTGCTAAGCCTGTTTCGGCCACAACAGGCAGCCCGCCCGCAGCCGAAGCCGCCGACGTCGCCCCGCCAGCGGCGGAGCCGGCCATTGAAGTTATTGACACTGACAGTGATCAGAACTCGGGAGACTCCGAGGTATCCTTGGCTAGCAGCCAGGCCGCAACGGCAGTGCCGTTTGCGCCGAACGCGAACACTGTGGTCGTGTCCAGACCGCAGCGTCGCAATCGCCAGCGAGGCTGGCAGTTTCAGCCTGGGGAGGACCCCCAAAATAACGATTGGCGTAACCTCGGGTCAGCGACCGACAACAGGTACCCCGGCCTGCGTGCGCTAGTAGCGCACGCCAAAAGGGTCTCGCCGCACCTGCACGTCACAGACGTGCACGAATGGCCCTACTGGGCAGCCCCCAACTCAGAGAGATGGGAGAGATACCCGGAGAGGCGCGGCGACCTCATGTGTTGCTTGCCTTGCGCGCAGCAGGGCTGCATCTCCCAGGGCATGGCGATTTGTGGGCGGCACTGCTCAGTGGGCAGGAGCCCCCACAATCATCACGAATGCGACAACTGCTATCGCAGCAGCCGGGGTCAGCGACCCCGAAACCGCGGCGTCAGGGGCGGCCGCCGTTAGGCATTGAGTGCAGCGCGTAGCTGCTGGCCTCTCAGCGAGTCGCCCCCCATCGGTGCAGCGCACTTCTTTTTGGTTCACCGCCGACAGCTCGGCAGCCTCTGCAGGGCGGGCGTCTCCGAGGTACTTGGAACCTCGCCCACAGCGGCGGGCCGACGGCATGCTTTGAATGGCGGCAAAAGATCGCCGCTAGTCTTTTTCAGTCGTGTGTCACGCGAGCCTGGTAGGTCTCCTCAGCTGAGTCAGCTTCTTAAACCGTGTCGGTTTTCAAGCAGTGCTTTCATACCGCAGCCTTTTCAGCTTAGTAAGTCGCCCCCCCGTGCCCAAAACAACCCCGCTTTCAGCGGAAGCCTCTTCTGCCATCAGCGATGGCGAACCCGACAAATGAGCAGATGCTGCAGGCGCTCAGCGCAGTGCCGGAGGCCCAGAGGGCCGCCCTCTACGAAGCCGCCGTCTCCCTATCAGAGATAGGGGACGTGGTGGTGAATGCGGCAGAGGCAGCGGAACTCGCTGGTTGGACGAAGCCCGCCAGTGGCGGCACAGAAGCCAATGCAGTCGCGCTTCAGCGACTTCTGCTCGGCTACGAGCCCCCAGTGGTGCCGGCAAACACCGAGCCACCAGTGGCGGCACGTGGTGTTTCCTCCGACGGCCACCGCAGCGCGGTGGCCAGTTTGCCTGTTACGACGGCTGCAGCGCAGGCCTCGCAACAACGCTCCCCGACCAGTCCTGCTGAGGAAGCGGGGTCTGGCATCAAAGAAGAACCGCTTCCAGCGGAAGCTCCCTCGGCAGCGCCGGAGGATATGGACGTGGAGGAGCCCAGCGGGCGGCGGGACGAAACCGAAGATGACCGAGGCTCCCGCTCGGAGGAGTCGGAGTCAGAGAGCGACTCCCCGCCACCGCCAGCGCAGCCGCACCCTCCCCTTGAGGGCAAGGTGGCGCGCAAGTCCTGGCAGTGCCGGCAGTCGAAAGGAACCAGGCGCCAGCGGCTGCGAAGGCCGCCGCCCCACGCCACAACAAGCGGCCTCCCCCACCGCCAGTGGCACGTCGTGGGGAGAGCTCTCGCCCGCGTCCCTGCCAGCAGGCCCCACGCAACAACCCTGGGCGTCGCTGGGACCCGGGCCAGCGGCCCGGCAACAGAC